CATGCATGCATACATACACACACATAGCATCAAGTTCTGAAGAGCCTTAAGCCCAAGCTAGCGTCGGCCATGCAGGAAGCGCAAGCAGCGCTGCTTCGCCTCACCGGAGATGGACTCCAGTCCCCTGCCCAGGTCCGAGCCCCCTGCGTTCAGGGTTTAGGGCTTACCGGAACCGCAACAGAGGGAATCTTCGAGGACACGCACGTAAAACATAAAGAAACCATAACAAGGCTGAAGAGTCGGTTTTGAGGGGTAAAGGTGGGCCGTGGGGCGTTTGAGGGGTTGTGGTGGCTTCGGAGCACCCTCAACTAGCTCAAGGTTTGGACGCAAAGGTGCCAAGGAGATGTAATCAATGTAAAGAAAAGGGTGTTGGGGTATACGTATAAGCCATGGTAGCAACCCAATGTTTGTCAAGACATCCGATACAAGATGCCAGCAAGCACAATCTCAAGCTATCAGTGGTGAATAGCAGCGTGACATGTGACAGTATCTGAGACGAGGCCTCAGTGCCAAAACCTTGAATAAATGCAGCTTCGGAATCCCCTAATCCCGAAACTAAACTGCGAACACCCTCAAACACAAAACCCTGCAACCCGCTGCCAGTGCCTGCCCCACTTCTCAAAGTTCGCCTTGGCAAAACGAGAAAAGCATACCAGAACCAAAGCTTCCACTGCTGACGGCCGAGGCAGAAGACACTTCTCCGAAAGGCCAGGGCCAGTACTATTGAAATCTCAACGTCATCATCCTATACTTTCTCTCTCGTATGAAGAAATACGTCGACATGCCCCTGCTGCATGGTGCAGTGTCGTGGGTGTTTACGACCTTGAACTTGAAACCCGGCCTTGAAGCCTGAGACCTTAACATCTCGGCAAGCCTCGCTGTCTCCACCAACAACATGACTCTGCGGTGCGGTCAAGCGGCCTTTGCAAGTTGAACAAGCATCTGCGCTGTCTTGCCTGCGTCCCGTGTTCGTGCTACTTAAGAGTACTCAGCACCAGCACCTAACAGGCTTGTAGAGATGAGCGAGGCGTGCTTTCTCCAAGTTGCTGCCAGGGCTGGCACAGGTGTCGAGGCAACGATGGCCAGCTTGGACCTGCAATTACTTTGGACGAGCATCGTGTGGCTCAGGGATCAGAGTTAAAGGAAACTACAGGTG